GGGATATTGTGATAAGACAGTTGAGACCCAAGACCCAACACTCTGGATGAGCTTAAGACACAAGACCCAACACTCTGGATGAGCTTAAGACCCAAGACCCAACACTCTGGATGAGCTTAAGACCAAAGACCCAACTCTCTGGATGCGCTTAAGACCCAAGACCCAACACTCNGTTTTATGTGCTGCAGAACAGGAACCTGCTGTAAAAACAGCAATTATGCTGAGTCAGGCTTGATTTTTAGTAATCTTTTCCTGTTAAATAAATAAATCAAATCAATCTGCTGGCTTTTTGGGATACATCTATTTTGGAGTTGTAGCCCCACCTGGAAAAAAATCCACCAGCCGCCACTGTTAATGTGTCTCTGAGATGTTGACCCACCATTAAAAGATTCTTGTTCTTTGGATCTGACATTTGAGATATTCTTTTCATTTCTGTCTTGTTTTCTTGCAGTAATCAGCAGTAATCACAGAGAGGTTCTTCTTGACAGAGAAAGTGAGAAGTCTTCCTTGTTGGAGAAGCTGCGGCTGAAAGAGGCAGAAATCCAGAGAATGAGAGAGGATGAAGCTCATCGAGCCAGCTGCCTGCAGAGCGCCGTCCTGGCCTACACTCAGGGCTCACCTGTGGGACACTACTGCAGCCCGAACAAATGACAGACAGTTCAGTGTGGCTCCACCCAGGACACGTTAAAACATTATGTTCTGATTCCCTGCGCTCAAAGACACCTCATTATCGACACGTTAGATCAGTGATAGACTTGCTTTGTACAAAGAGCTCTAAAACAATTTTACATGCTGTTTTTTACAAGGACGATTTTATGCAAAAATGTCCAAATTTTGTTTAAAATTTTTTTGTAACGCAAAGTTCTGTTTTAAATTATTTTTTAAGATTTATTCAAAATGTGCTGTTTTCAGATCAATAAAGAATATGTTTTATTATTATTCACTCTCCCCTTCATCCAAAAGGCTCATGAATCACTTTGTAGTTTTATTTATTATTTTTATTTTAACAGCCTGGATTGGGTAACCCAGGAGTTTGTTGTTGTTGTTGTTGTTTTCATTACTGAGTCAGGAGGTGAGAAATTAACACTTAATTTGTGTTTTTATTCAGTCTTGTGTACTTATTATAAACGTGTCTTTGATCATTATTTATCATACCTGGTGTAGCTGAATCTAGTTAAGGTAAATGTGACTCTTAGCTTTACCTCATATCTGAGTTATTACCAAATACAGAAGGTTTAAATAAGTAAAGAGTAAAGGTGAAGTTTTTGGTGTTTTCCTCATTGATCTGTATTACTCATTAGTTAAATGATAATTTCCACGCAGCCCTCTTGGTTACTGTCCCTTTAAGAACGCTCGGTTGTTTCCGGAGAACATCGGAGCTGTTCGTCGCGACCTCGTTCACTGCGGCTCCATCGCCAGGCGGACTAGCCCGCTGCTTTCATCCGAGCCCGGAGCGCAGACTGTCGGATCTCCTACATTCCCAGCGTCGGTTCCGTGAACGCCTCCAGCTTCGGTCCAAATGCAAGCCATCAAATGTGTGGTGGTCGGTGACGGGTAAGAGCACACCACGGAACCGCACCGGGATGTCCACGGGGGGGTGGGTGGGTGATGGAGGGATGCGGTGCAGGAAAAAGGGGCTGGGGCTCAGCCACGGGTTCTGCTCTCAGATGTTCGGTACAAATGTGCTGCTGTCTGCTCGGTGCCTGCAGCTGGTTCGGTTCGGAGCGACCCGGTTCTGGATGCTTTGCTCCAGTCTTAGGCAGACTGAAGGGCTGATCAGGAGGGGGTTTCTGGGCCCTCCAGGCCCCACTGCTGCTGTCATCCTCCATGCAGCCGGATCCCACCCAGTCTGAGGGGGGAGACTGGTCAGAACCAGGGTCCAGTTTCACCAGTACCGTCAGAACATCAACATCAGGACAACTGGTTTTGTTCAAATTTATGACATCCAACCAGAAATATATGAAACGTACAGAAATACTTAGGTTCAGGGCCGGATTAACACTTCGCTGTACCCTGGGCAACAATATTCAAGGGCCCCATCATCACGACCCCAGGATTACCATAGTCTGGTAAATACAGATTAAATTATTGCAATGTATAGTAAATATATTCAATACTTCAAATTCTAAGTGTATTTTGATGTACAAATGCTCATAGAACTACAAATACAGTATGTCCTCTTGTCAAGGACACTCCTTCACATGATGCTATAAAAACAAAACACATCAGTATAATCTGATAAGCATGACCCACTACATTGAGATCGAGGGAAGTGTCCTCCATTTACACAAAAGCAACACTTGACATTACACAACCCTCTACGTCACCTGACCC